GATTGGATAGTTTGCGGCCGTTTGGGTTTTGTGTGTTGTGTGAGTGTGTGAGTTTGATCCAATGTGTGTGAGTGTGTGTGTGAGTGTGTGTGTGTGTCAGTCAATGTGTGTGTGTGTGTGTGTGCACTGGTCGCGTCTATCGCTTCATGAGTCACGTGACCCCCCATCCATGTCTCGAGTCACAAACCCGCAAGCTCACACACACACACACACACACACGCACATCTGTACGCACAAACGCGCATGCGCAGGATGAGACGGTCACCGCTGTGCCTGCGCCCGTGAAAGTGTTTGGGGACATCCACGGGCAACTGCACGACATGCTTGCCTTCTTCCGCATCTATGGTGTTCCCCACACCATCCACGGTGACATTCACTACATCTCCTACCTCTTCATCGGCGACTTTGTCGATCGCGGCTCCCACTCCCTCGAGGTGCGCCACTGTTGTTGTTTAAGTTGTTGTTGTTGTTGTTGTTGCTGCTGCTGCTGTGTATGGTGGTATCACCAACGTGTTTAAGTTGTTGTTGTTGTTGTTGTCGTTGTTGTTGTCGTTGTTGTTGTTGCTGCTGCTGTGTATGGTGGTATCACCAACGTGTTAGCATTGATGTCGTGTATGCTTGATCACGACTCTCGTGCGTGTACACTGCTGCTGTTGCCTGTGGTTGCAGGTCATCACGCTGCTCATGTGTCTAAAGCTGCGGTACCCCAAGCGTGTGTTTCTCGTTCGAGGTGAGCGCGCGCGCGTGCAAAGAGAGCTCGCAACGCCACCCGCTGTGTGTGCCGCTGCTCAGCGTCACGTTGCTGTCTTCGTGGCCATCTTGGCATGTTTCCATCCGCCCACACCTGCCGTCATGGCTCTTCTCACATATGTGTATGTGTGTGCATGCAGGCAATCACGAGGACTCGTGGGTGAACAAGTTCTTTGGGTTCAGGGACGAGTGTTTGCAGCGGCTGCCTGATGGCGTCATTGTGTGGCAGATGATCAACAAGGTTTGAAGCCATGGGTTGACTCTTGTGTGTGTTCGTGTACGTGTGTGTGTGTGTGTGCGTGTGCGCATGTGTGTGCATGTGTGTGTGTCTGTGCCGCTTGTGCGTAAGAGTTGCACTGTCATCGTCCTCTGCTCACAACTTGATGAACCCTGACGATGATTGCTTGTATGCGTGCATGTTGGCAGTTGTTTGAGTACCTGCCGCTTGGCGCAGTTGTGGACGACTCCATCCTGTGCATTCACGGCGGCATTGGAAGGGTGCGCTCACACCACACTTGCGTGCCTGTGTGCTGTTGCAAGCGAGGGTGCAGTCGTCTCCATGATCAGTGCTTGTGTACTCTCGCCCAGCATGACCTGAATGAATATGCACCATATCCACACGCGCCCCATACACACACGCGCAGGATTTTCGGTCTTTGGAGGACCTGCGCCGGATCAAGCGTCCATTCCGCCCATCTGAGGGCGATGACACACACGAAATCCGCGTTGCGCGAGACGCACTCTGGTCCGACCCAACCGAGAGCGACGAGCACCTAGGTGTGTGTGTGTATGTGTGTTTGTGTGTGTGTGCGTGTGTGTGTGCATGGAGGTTTGTTTGCGCGTTCTTGCATGCATGCATGCAAGTACGGTGCGTGTCCTCGCAGTCTTGGAGCCGTTTTTATTATCTCTCATCCCTGACACACACACACACACACATACACACACGCGCGTGACATTTGGTGTCATTGCAGGGCTGCACGCAAGCGCGACACGCGGTGCCACCATTGTGCAGTTTGGTCCAGACATGGTTCGCAACTTCCTTCGGGAAAACAGTCAGTTGGGGGGGGGGGGAGAGGAGTATGGCGAGATGTCACACATCACTTGGCCGGTTTCATTCTTTCATCTGCCATGTTTTAAATTCATATGCGCCCCACTCCCAGTCTGCTGCAGCCATGGTTGTATGTGCGTTTCGTCGCTCGTGCTTTCTGTCATTGTTAACACGAGCCCTTGTGTGCCCGGTGTGTACAGACCTGCAGATGATTGTGCGGGCGCACCAGTGTGTCAAGGATGGCTATGAGTTCTTTGCCGGGCAGCAGCTGGTGACTGTCTTCTCCGCAACAAACTACTGCGGCAGGTGTGTGTGTGTGTGTGTGTGTGTGTGTGTGTGTGTGTGTGTGTGTGTGTGTGTGTGTGTGTGTGTGTGTGTGTGTGTGCGCGCGCTCTTTGTCAGGTGCCTGAAACTTTTGATACCCGTGTGCTACCCCACCCACGTCCCCTCACGGTCGTTCATTTGTTTTCGTGCATTTTACCTCTCAGGTTCGGGAACGATGCTGCTATGCTCGTTATCAACCGTGAGCTCAGCGTCGCTGTGCACGTCATCAAGCCAGACGTTAGTGTGTGTGTGTGTGTGTGTGTGTGTGTGTGTGTGTGTGTGTGTGTGTGTGCTTGTGCTTGTGTGTGTGTGTGTGTGTCCGCGCGCTTTTGTGTGCAGCCTTGTAGTCGTGCCCAATGCAATGTTTTACTGTCTGCGTGTCTGATACGCTTTTTGTGCGCTGTCTTCTCACACATCTCGTGTGAATGTGCGCGGCGTGTGCGGCATACAGAGCTATCTTGGTCTGTCATCGTGGCAGCCACGCCAGCCCAGCAGTCCCCTGCCCCCATCACTCTGTGGCGGCGATGAAGATGAAGCTCCACACACCGTCACAGGCGAATACCCTCCCTTCAGTCTCGACTGATCTGCCGTGTGTAGCTTCTTTGCTTGTTTGTTGGTGGTGATGCTGGTGCACGCTTGCGTGCGCGTGTGTTGGATGAGCGATTGCATGTTTGATGCGCTGTGGTGCGTGTATTTGTTTGTGTGAGGTGTGCGTTGTTGCATTCAGCTAGGTTCGGACCGGATAATGCCGTTGCAAACGGGTGTATTGTAATTGCCTGACGGTATGTGTGTGTGTGTATTTTAATGCATAATTGCACGTGATTTGTTGTGGTTCCTTGCTGCGTGCTGCCTTGCCTGTCTTTGGCGTGGTTGATTTGTTTGCACTGTTGGTTGAAAACACAAGTAAAGCGTGCTGGGAAGCTGATGGCAAGGCAGAGAAGATCCACACAAAAGAAACGGTGTACAGTACACTACGTCGCCAAGACAGCAGTCTTTCGCTGAGCACAAACGCCCAAACACTTGCGCAAAGGGGGCGGGTTGAATTCGAGGGGAAGAATAAGAAAACTACATCACACAAACATCCCGACGACGCGACGGCGACAGCGGCACCACTGTCTTACCTTGCAGTCAAGCACTTTGACCCGCTCGCCCGCTGGGTTGTCAAAGCAAGCGAGCGCACTTCAATGTCGGGGGTTGTGCGCGTTTGAACGTGTGGCAATACATTCGCACACGTGCTTGCTCGACTTGCAGCAGATGTGACGGTGGCCGAGTAAACACTGTTGGTGAGCGGCGTTGTTGTTGTTGTTGTTGTGTTGTTGTGTATGTGTGTGCGATTGATTGTAGGAGGATTCACGGCGTAGGGCCATTTAATGCAGCACAATTCACACACATAACACGAAGAACACACTGCTCGAGGGTCGCTTTAAAGAGAGGGAAGCAACCATCATCGTCTCCAGCCCCACAACCAACACACACACACACACACACACACATATCCATCCAAAACAACGCACACACATGAACCCTTCTCGCACTCATACACACACGTGCGCGCTCTCCCACTCTGTCCAAGCCAAACACCCACACCCACA